TAGCATATTTAGAAGGAAAATATTATAGTTGAATTCAGAAAAATAGATGCAATCTAAAATACACAAGTGTAACCAAATCGAATATTGACCAAAAAAGCAACCTAACCGATTAAATATAACATCTACTAAATCATATGTCTAATTAAAAGAATCTAATATTATTAATATAAGTTATACATATAAATTATAAATTAATTTATAATTAAAGTAAATATCTATGTAAATTAATAAATTAGAATATATTACAATATATTTACTTGATAAATATTTATACCCGTGCATGAACACGGGAAAATCACCTAGTTGACCTTATATACACATTAAACCACCCCTAGTTTTCTTCTAAGGAAATTTTATCAAAATTTTCTTAATATAGTTAGGTATTTTTATCAAGGGAAAACTTTTTTTAAGTAGATAATGACTGTTTGGTACATGCGGTAAGATAACTCACAATGGTAACGTATATCAAATGGGATTCTTTTCTTTTTTTTTTACATCAAAGGTATTCTTATAATATTTTAATTTAATATCATTATTTATTTAATTTTTAATATACAAATATAAATTTTGATCATTCACTAGCAAACATGTTATGAAATTTTTCGAGATATTTTCAAAATATGTTATTTGAGAGTTTCATTTTTTTTTCTTTTTTCCTATTTTGGTTATACTTTATATTCTTATTGGTGAGATACTCCAATGGACATGCTTTTTAAGAGACCAAAACTGACCAGAACCAAAATAATTAGTTTGTTGAGTTTGTAAGAAGAAAACATATATGAAAGCTTCGATCTAATAAATTTTGTTCAAAAAAAAAGGATCTAATAAGTTTTGATAGAGTAGTTGAAGGATGCAATCGACTAATTTTACAAAGAAACATATGTTTTAAAGATGTTGTACTATCACCAGATTACTGTTTTTTTCTCCTTCTACCTTAGTAATAAAATTTGCTATGATCCAGGTGTATACAAATAACAAATATTCCGTGTATTTTTTTTTTATCAAAGATAATATATAATATTCAGTGTATCTTCTCTTTCAATCATCGAACCCTGAGGAGATTAAGGAGGCACTTTCTGAAGTCACAACTACAATTACGCATGCAGATAATGAGGGTCTTATAGCTCTGGTTTCAGAGTGGGAAGTTAAATTAGCTATTTTTGCTATGCATCCTGAGAAAGCTCCTGGACCTGATGGAATGACAGCCTTGTTCTATCAAAATTTCTAGGACATTGTAAAGGATGATTTAACCCGTATGGTTAATGATTTTCTTTTTCATGGGACTATTCCGACTGGACTCAATGATACTAATATATGCCTTATCCCAAAAGTTGACAAGCCAAATCAGATGAGTCAACTTCGACCCATAAGTCTTTGTAATGTTTGTTATAAGATTATCTCTAAGGTCTTATGCCAAAGACTAAAAAAGGTTCTCCCAGATAGGATTTCTGAAACCCAGTCAGCCTTTGTTGCTGGGAGACAGATTTCAGATAATATAATGATAGCCGAGGAGTTGTTCCATGCCTTAAGAACAAAACCAAGTGGGTGGAATAAGAGGATGACCATCAAAACTGACATGAGTAAGACATATGATCGTATGGAGTGGTCTTTCATTGAAGCCACCATGAGGAAGATGGGGTTCTCAGAAGTTTGGATTACCTGGATTATGCGATGTGTAACGACAGTTAAATATAAGGTACTCATGAATGGTCAGCCACGAGGGAATATTGTCCTAGAGAGAGGTCTACGTCAGGGAGATCCTTTATCCCCTTTCATTTTTATTCTATGCACGGAAGCGCTCGTTAGCCTTCTTAATCACGCAGAGAGTCAGGGAAAGATAACATGGATGCGCATCACACGTGCGTGTCCGTCGGTATCCCACTTGCTCTTTGCTGATGATAGCCTTTTCTTTTGTAAGGCGGAGGCCCCGTGAGTGTGAAGAAGTAATGAAAGCGGTTAGGAAATATGGACAAGCCTCTGGACAGTGCATTAATTTTGACAAGTCTTCCTTACTCTTTGGTAAGAGGATCGGTTTAGAGGCCAGACAGGAGATCAAATATATACTCGAGATCCAAAATGACGCAGGAATGGGAACCTACCTTGGAATACCAGAGGATATCAGTGGTTCGAAATGTAAGTTGTTTGCCTTCTTAAACGACAAACTCCGGAACAGAGTGAATGGATGGACAGGCAGGTGGTTGTCTAAAGGTGGAAAGGAAGTAATGATTAAGTCGATCCTATTAGCCCTCCCAACCTATGTTATGTCTTGTTTTTTACTTCCATTGGAGATATGTGATGCCTTGGCTAGTGCCATTGCACAGTTTTGGTGGAGTTCAAACCCACCAAAGAGAGGATTACACTGGACAAAATGGGACAAGTTGTGTCCTTCTAAAGAGGAAGGTGGTATTGGATTCAGGATGATTCATGAGTTCAATCTGGCTTTATTAGCAAAGCAGTTGTGGAGATTGGCCCAAAATCCAGATTCTTTGGTTGCTCGAGTTATGCGAGGGAGATATTATCGATTAAGTTCGCCTTTGCGAAAGCTTAATGTCAGCAGCCCATCATATGTGTGGACAAGCATCTCAGCTGCAAGAGAGCTATTGTTATTGGGGGTTAGATAGAAAATTCATTCAGGGTATGAAGTAAAGGTATGGGAGGATCCATGGATTCCCACAATCCCGGCAAGACCAGCACATGCATCTGCTCCGGTTTTGCATCCGAATATGAGAGTGAGTGATCTAATCAACCAGGAAACAAAGAATTGGGATTAGGAACGGCTGGAAAACTATATTGATGCTGCTGATATATCTCTCATAAGGAGTATGGACATTAGTTCAACCCACCGTAGAGACACACACTGCTGGAGTTATACAAGGAGTGGACAGTACACAGTTAAGTCCGGCTATTGGGTAGCTCGAAACATACTAATGAAGGAGGATGAGGGTTTGGTGGATGAACCTAGTATTAAAAGGCTTCAAGCACAAGTTTGGAAGATCAAAGCACCCCCGAAGATGCGCCATCTTATGTGGCAGATTATATCGGGGCAGGTGGCTGTTACGAGTGCGCTAATCCATAGACACATGAGATGCGATAACTTCTGTCCACGATGCGGAGAACCGAAAGAAACAATTGCACATGCAATTTTTCAGTGCCCACCGGCTTTACAGGTATGGGCCTTAGCATCTATACCTACCAGCCCAACCCTATTTCCTTTGGAAAGCACTTATGCGAATATGGACTATCTATTATGGCGGAAGAAGGCCATTTGTGGGCCGGAATTAGACAAGGATCCTTATCCTTGGTTAATATGGTACATTTGGAAAGCTCGGAATGATAAATTGTTCAGAGGAATAGATAGAGACCCTCTGGAGCTGGCCCGGTATGCATAGAGTGAGTGTCTTGCCTGGTTTCAAGCTAATGAGCAGGATGTTGTAATTACTCAAGATAATAGCGATACTGATCGTCAGACCATAGGTCTACGAAATATTTGCATGATAGACGGTTCATGGACCTCTATAGATCATTTCTCTGGTTGTGGATGGGTTTGGAAGGATTGCATGGGAAATAGCCAATTGATGGGGATGCGGAATGTGAGTAGAGTGGAGTCGGCTTTGCATTCGGAGCTGGAAGCGCTGCGGTGGGCAATGGAGAACATGCTTCAACATTCGCCATGTCAGAGCTTTGGGACGGACTGCAAAGAATTGTTAGCAATGCTCACGGATCCTCAAGGATGGCCTAGGTTTTCGACGGAACTGGAGAGGATCTCGACGCTGAGGATTTGTTTCCCAGACTTCAAGATATCTTATGTACCTAGATCTTTAAATGCTATGTCTGATCATCTAGCTAAGACTGCCCGATCTTTTTATCGTGATCTCACGTATGTTGGTTGTTCTATTCCGGTCTGGATTCCCAGACCACCTCAAGTTTAAGTAATAGATCAGCCTTTCGTTGTCAAAAAAAAAAAAAAAAGAGAAGTACCATTTTTATCTACTATAAAATAGTTATACTAGATTCATATATTCAGTTACATTGTTTTGATTATTTACATTAGTTTGTTTGTTGTATAACATTTCTAAATAATTATAAATATCTTAATAACAAATCTATTTTAACTGTAATTTTAAATTTTATTTTTAGTAATCACAAAATCTGTTGAGAAAAAATCTAACAAAATCTTTATAAAAAATTTAAATAGTTTTTAATTAATGCACTAATTAATTTCGTAATTAGTAGTATAATATTATACATTAATATTAATTAAAAAAATATTTTAAACAAACTATAATATACTATATGCCAATTTTATAAATTTTATAAGTATAGTCTATGTTATATGAAAACTGAAATAATAAATGAATTACATATAAAAATTATATTAAATTGGTAAACTAATATATATATATATTTTTTAAAAATCATTTAAATAAAGAAAATATCATTCACCATTTAAGTGACTAAAATATAATTTATCTTTTAAAAAGATTAAACATTCGTAAATTATGTAATAAATTTTACAGAAAATAAAATTGTTAACATATATTAAATATTTATATTTAGAAAATGAAAGATTATCTGCACGGATGTGCGGGTTCAAAATCTAGTTTCTAGCTATTTCGAACACACACATTTATGTACAATTACGTCACTGTGTGGAATTGTTTTTCTTTTTTGGGCTCAAAATTATGTGGGAAGTGAAAGTGGAAGTCGAATGGAGATGGAGGTGGAAGTGAAATTTCAGTTGTCTATAATAAATAATGATATACTAAACAAAGAAGAAGAATTTAGCAGATGCTTGCCGTGAATGAAGGCAGTGCCAGTGATACTCCACAGCCCCACCCACAGTCTTTATCCATTTTCAAGTTAGAGAATTTTAACTTTAAATCATTACACACCATCCTTCGAAAAATAAAATATCTATTCTTTAATTTCCCTGAGAAACTCGCCATAAATATACGTGGTCGTCGTTATTTTCTCCAAAATCATTTGTTTTCATTACAAAGATGGAACCTCAAAAATCTCATTCGACAACCCTTCACGCGTGTCAAACGTGCCGGCGCACCGTTCTATACAGATGCTATGCTTTAATTCACACGTGTGGTATCATGGCCCTCATGTATCACCATGTTCATACACTTCTCACAGAAAACACAGCTCTAGTAACATCTCTTCTTCTCCTCTCCGATGTCATCCAAGCCTTCATGTGGGCCACCACAACGTCCCTCAGGTTTAACCCGGTTCATCGGACCGAGTACCCTGAGAGATATGTAGCTAAACCGGAGGAGGAGTTTCCGAAGTTGGACGTGTTTATATGCACGGCTGATCCGTATAAGGAGCCTCCGATGATGGTGGTCAACACGGCCTTATCAGTGATGGCTTACGACTATCCGTCCGATAAGATCTCGGTCTATGTATCGGACGATGGAGGATCGTCGTTGACATTGTTTGCTTTGATGGAGGCTGCTAAGTTCTCTGAGCATTGGTTGCCTTTTTGCAAGAAGAATAATGTTCAAGATCGGTCTCCTGAAGTTTATTTCTCCTTATTGTCACGTTCTTGGACGGAAGAAGCTGAAAATCTTAAGGTACTTTTTTTATATCTATTGTTATATTACACATCGCCTAATCTATTATAATTCGATAAATGAATTTAGTGTATGCATATAAAAGTCTATTAGAATGTCTCATAGTGAAGTCTTTAACGTACTATATAAAGTATATGTAGGGTTGAGGTTCTCCACTTATTGTATAGAAGATAATACGTAAGTACTTTATTTCTACCGCTAGACCAAAACGTAATCAGTTTACGGTGAAACAGACAATGTATGAAGATTTAAAGAAGAGAGTAGAATATGTGGTGAGTGTTGGCCAAGTTGATAATGATCAATTTCATGAAGTCTTCGGTTTGTGGGACCATAATTTCACTCGTACTGACCATCCTAGCATCGTCAAGGTATTTATTACTCATACTTAATATAGGCTATAGCATGGTATTATTTACAATTTCAAAACAAATTAACGTATCTCTAACAAGATCTCATTGTCTGTTAATTTGTGGGGTAATTAGGTGCTACTAAATCACGAAACGGAGGCAATGCCAAACCTAATCTATGTTTCAAGAGAGAAGAGTAAAGTTTCACCACATCATTTTAAAGCCGGTGCTCTTAATACCCTGGTTGGTACTAATTAAACTTCGGTTAAAAAGCATTTCGGTTTAGTAATTCTCCTAACCACGAGTTTGGTTTTCATCGTATAGTTACGAGTATCTTCGGTGATGACAAACGCACCAATCATTCTAACACTAGACTGTGACATGTACTCTAACAATCCCACAGCACCGCTTCATGCTTTATGCTATTTGTCAGATCCTAAGATCATTTCCAGTCTAGGGTTTGTGCAGTTTCCTCAGAGATTTCAAGGAATAAATAGAAACGATATATATGCATCAGAGCTCAGACGTTCCTTTGACATCAATATGGTTGGTTATGATGGCCTTATGGGACCAAGTTACGTGGGCACTGGCTGTTTCTTCAATCGACGAGCTTTTTATGGACCTCCAGCTAAATTAATTAAGCCTGAGTTAGACGAACTTAATCCAAATCGGATTGTTGATACGTCCCTCAAGGCCCAAGATGTTTTGGCATTGGCACACGATGTAGCAGGATGTAACTACGAGCGCAACACCAATTGGGGATCCAAGGTAATAAGATAAACCAATAATCATAAATTTCATCTTTCATGGTCAATATCCAAAAGATAATATACTATATATTACATCAAAGTATCATGCAAAACCATGCAGATTGGATTCAGATACGGGTCATTAGTGGAAGACTACTACACAGGGTTTATGCTCCATTGTGAAGGGTGGAGATCAGCGTTTTGTAGACCACAAAGAGTTGCATTTTATGGAGAATCTCCAAAATGCCTAGCAGATGTAATGGGCCAACAAATGAGATGGTCCATTGGGCTTCTTGAAATGGTCTTCTCAAGGTATAGCACATTCACCTATGGGTTCAAATCATTGGGAATGTTGATGGGTTTAGGGTATAACTACTTTACGTTTTGGCCATTTTGCTCAATTCCTCTAACGGTCTATGGAATTTTACCCCAACTTGCCATAATCTGTGGAGTTAGTGTGTTCCCCAAGTCATCGGATCCATGGTTTTGGCTTTATATCTTCTTGTTCCTTGGTGCACACGTGCAAGATTTATCTGATTTTTTGTTGGAGGGAGGGACTTACCGAAAGTGGTGGAACGATCAAAGAATGTGGATGATAAGAGGACTCTCTTCATTTTTCTTTGGTATAATAGAATTCACTCTCAAAACGTTAAACCTATCCACATTCCATTTCAATGTCACCAGTAAAGCCAACGACGATAACGAACAGAAGAACCGATACGAGCAAGAGATCTTTGATTTTGGGCCTTCTTCGTCCATGTTGTTCTTACCCGTTACCACTGTGGCAATAGTGAATCTCTTAGCTTTTGTCTGTGGGGTTTATGGTCTTATCGCTTCGGGAGAAGGACTAGTCCTTGAGCTGATGCTGGCGAGTTTCGCGGTGATGAACTGCGTACCGATCTATGAGGCTATGATGTTGAGGAAAGATGAAGCAAGATTACCAAAACGTGTTTGTTT